CAGTATAATACACAGAGACACCGTACTTATCTATAGGGTATAATACACAGAGACACGGTACTTATCTCTACGGAATAATACACAGAGACACCGTACTTATCTATAGGGTATAAATACACAGAGACACCATACTTATCTCTAGGGTATAATACACCACGACATCGTACTTATCTCTAGGATATAATACACAGAGACACCATACTGATCTCTAGGGTATAATACACCACGACATCGTACTTATCTTTAGGGTATAATACACAGAGACACCATACTGATCTATAGGGTATAATACACCACGACATAGTACTTATCTCTAGGGTATAATACACAGAGACCCCGTACTTATCTATAGGGTATAATACACAGAGACAACATACTTATCTATAGGGTATAATACACAGAGAAACCATACTTATCTATAGGGTATAATACACAGAGAAACCATACTTATCTATAGGGTATAATACACAGAGACGCCATACTTATCTCTAGGGTATAATGCACAGAGACACTGTACTTATCTATAGGGTATAATACACAGAGACAACATACTTATCTATAGGGTATAATACACAGAGACGCCATACTTATCTCTAGGGTATAATGCACAGAGACACTGTACTTATCTATAGGGTATAATACACAGAGACAACATACTTATCTATAGGGTATAATACACAGAGACGCCATACTTATCTCTAGGGTATAATGCACAGAGACACTGTACTTATCTATAGGGTATAATACACAGAGACGCCATACTTATCTCTAGGGTATAATGCACAGAGACACTGTACTTATCTATAGGGTATAATACACAGAGACACTGTACTTATCTCTAGGGTATAATACACAGAGACACTGTACTTATCTCTAGGGAATAATACACAGAGACACTGTACTTATCTCTAGGGTATAATACACAGAGACCCCGTACTTATCTCTAGGGTATAATACACAGAGACACTGTACTTATCTCCAGGGTATAATACACAGAGACACCATACTTATCTCTAGGGTACAATACACAGAGACACCGTACTTATCTATAGGGTATAATACACAGAGACACCGTACTTATCTATAGGGTATAATACACAGAGACACTGTAGTTATCTCTAGGGTATAATACACAGAGACACTGTACTTATCTATAGGGTATAATACACAGAGACACCTTACTTATCTATAGGGTATAATACACAGCAACATCGTACTTATCTCTAGGGTATAATACACCACGACATTGTTTTTATCTCTAGGGAATAATACACAGAGACACCATACCTACTTCTAGGGTATAATACACAGCAACATCGTACTTATCTCTGGGGTATAATAAACCGGGGCATCATACTTATCTCCAGGGTACAAAATATATATCACATACAATAATCCACATTTCAATTAATCTCTGTAGTATAGCTAGGTATCAGAAAAATGCGGGAATTACCAAATAGCATAATATTTGATGCCATGTTCTAAAAATGTCATACTTGACAACAAGGGAAAGTGCAATTTTGAATGGAGTACTCAATGTAAGTATGCTGTATCATCACATTAACAGATTTTACAATGACACTGGTACTGCTGTACTCAATAAACTATTTAAAACATCAAGATACTTCATAAACAAACAAACACACTGCCAAATCCAGAATGGAATTAATGAAACCAACACAGATATCAGTAAAATCAAAAGACACGCCAGAAACCAGTCCAGGAATTCCTAGAACCAGCCATTATACTGCTGCATTCAGAATGAATTAACTGCCGACACCAAATCTGATAATGCTTAACGAATTAAAATACTGCTAAAGTCAATGTAGAAATTACTTAAAACAGAATAGATACTGTTGAAATCATTGGGATGCTGATGAAACCAAATCGAATATTTCTGAAACCACAAAATCACTGAAACAAGACCATAAAATTCTTGAAAGGAATCCAGAAAACTGCTACAACCAATAAGCAAGAGCATACAGAAGAGTACGGCAGAATAAGAGAAACTAAAACCAGTGCAGACAAATCTTAAGCCAATACAGGGGAGACCAAAGACTGTGAAGAAAAGAACATTCTGTATCCTTACAACACAACAAACAAGGTTTCAGTCAGGTAAATTCTAACCATAGACAGATATTAAATCACTTCATGCATCACTGACAAATACGTTAGCACGCATCAATTAAGTCCATGTGTCTGCAACACAAATGTATCTGTTTAAATACCGGAAATCATATTCGAGTTATCATGAAATTTTAATCATCAGGAAATGATACACCTCTCTCTTTTGAAAAAAACATTAAGGAGGAATGCCCCTCTAACTGTGGTACGCTGTGTTCCTTTGCTTATAATCTACACCAATAAGGGATAATGTTTTCTAATTGTGGTAAGTTTTGGTTGTTGATAACTTTAATATACTACCATGAAGGAATATCCATCTTGCCATTCATAAGTGTTTCCCCATGTTTACTTATATTACTAGGACAGAATGTCCCTCCATCAATTCATAACTACATTGTTCTGTTCACCTTTTGACTATTACAATTAAAGAACAGTCTTCCTTCCATCATTCACTCTTGTACTCCTCATCTGTTGCCCCTCCAAACATTCACTCTTGTATTGTCCATCTATTGACTAATATTATTAAGGAGAAGTGTCCCTCCAAACATTCACTCTTGTATTGTCCATCTATTAACTAATATTATTAAGGAGGAGTGTCCCTCGAAACATTCACTCTTGTATTGTCCATCTATTGACTAATACTATTAAGGAGGAGTGTCCCTTCCTACATACACATTTTTATTGTATACCTATAGACTAATACTATTAAGGAGGAGTGTCCCTCCAAACATTCACTCTTGTATTGTGTACCTATTGACTAATACTATTAAGGAGGAGTGTCCCTCCAAACATTCACTCTTGTATTGTTCATCTACTGACTAATACTATGGGAGGGAGTGTCAGACTATAAAAATAGCTTTTGAAATTTTGAAAATGACCCAAAAAATTGATCTTACTAACAAATTTATGAAAAGTTTGGTAATAAAAGATTTGAAACGAATTTCAACCTTCTGATGATGTCAACAAATCAATATTAACGCAGGTACTGTCATAGGCTTAGGGGGATGATGAAGGCCAAGAAAAATATTGCAGAAAGGGAAGTAAATCTTGGTCAATAATTATCAAACCTAGTAAAGAATATTTCAGTGTCAGAAAAATCTACGAAAATGCACCATTTCATCCACAGGAGTAACAGGTGATCTTTTTTGTTTCTTACATGTCTACCAGGCATATCTACAACGAACAGTCTTCTATGCATGTACTAGGGTACTGTCAGTTAGCCAAAGAAAAGCTAACTGATCTATTATAACATCACAATCCATGTCTCCTACATACACCTTCCCCCAGCTCTCTAATACTCAAATGAATTCAGCTCTTTGGCTTCATCTTCACAACATTCTTATTCAATTTCTAAAAACAAAGTAAGAATTATGAAAATCATTTCGGTACAAGCAAGATAGCCTAAAGTTTTATACTGTTAGAAGCCCGCTTCAGTTACTTAATAAACATCTCTATTCATAATCAAAGGACAAAGGCTTACTTACTGATCACCAAACCAAAGGCATGTGCATTCATATTAGTAATAGTACGTCAATTTTACATCAATGATTTTAAAAGATGACAACCGTCACTACCAGTGACATAACAGAACTAGGTTGAATTTACTGTGAGAGTTAAAAGTAACCATGAAATGAGCTCGACCAACAAAGAATCAAACACTGTATTTCATTCAAAATACCACATACCCTGCTATCAATTTCAAATTCCCAATTCATCTTAAACTAAATGCTTTTCTGAAGTAACCCTTTATCATTAACTTCAATTTTCATGAAGACTAGACCTCTCGGGACGTCTGAAATTTCAAATATTTTCTGTATTTCCATCTATATATATATTATTATGGGTGACACAGAAAAGCCTGTAGTTGCTGGATTTGTACACTGAAAAAAATACCCATGTCCATGCAGTCAGAAAACACTCAAACATCTGTAATTTATCTGCTTTTCTGCACAGCCCCAAAGTGTAACTGTATCACATTGCTGGTTTCAACACCACTCTAAAAAATTCCCTCTAGGTAATACTTATTTTTCTTCTCACATTTCATCTGGATTGCTAAGAAGACAAACAAAACAGAAATTATCATTTTTTCCCTGTTTGAAATGCAATTTATAATGTTATCTGAGGTCACCTGCCAGATGTTGCTACAACATGACAAGACACTAGTTTGATAGAGTACTAAGGAGGTGCAAACACTGACCTGACCCAGCATGTCGGACGGAGCAGCCACAAAGTCTAGTTGGTAGGTACAGGATGGGTCTGTGTAGACACGCAGCTCAAGGTCCCCATCATCCTCGATTATAGGCACACCGCTCTGTAGCTTCAGGGACAGGGTACCCACCTGGTCATTTCTAATTAACACAGAAGTACAGGTAAGTAAACAAAAACGGTAAGAATGAACAGGTAAGTTTAGAAGGTACCGGTAAGTACATTTATTTAGATATTACGATAACACAATAAGATGTACAAGTAAGTACATAATGATAAGGTGTACAGGTAAGTACACTACAATATGGTGTACAGGTAAGTACACAATGATAAGGTGTTCAGGTAAGTACACAACGATAAGGTGTACAGGTAAGTACACAATGATAAGGTAAGTGCATAATGAGCAGCTAAAATCAACTTGGTAAATAAAAAGATTATAAGCAAAAAACAACCCCTTAAGATTTCAATGGTTTGTATAAGATAATATCTCTGAAAAGTCCACTTGTATCCATAAAGCATCTGTGGCCATCCACAGGGAAGGCCAGTGGGTAAACTACAGAACCAATCTGTCCCTACTAGAACCTGTATGTGTTACGTACGGCTATTATATATATACCTGTTGGAGGAATAGGTGTCCTCGTTACTCCAGGGCACATGAAACATCATCATACTACCAGTGTGAAGTTCTGAAAGAGACCATATTTTTTATGTTCTTGAATAATTATGTTTTTATAATTTTAGTGTTTAGTTATGTTTGTACAGGAGATGAATTATTGTGTAAATCAATGTATATTAGATTTTAAAGCAGGAGTGACTATTATTTATCATTACATGGAGATATTTGAGAGAGGCTGCAATTGATGGACAGAAGATGTAGTAATACTCTTGGTACCTAGACTTCTCTTAATACATACAAGTTCCTTTGGTTTTAACATTTCCAGTGATTTAAGAAGCTAACCTGGATTGTTTTGTTCGGCGCAGTATTTGGGACGGAGATAGACCCTGTAGGCCTTCAGTAGAGTGTCTATACCCTGTAACCTCAGACTGTAGAACAAGGTGTCGTTATAGAGGGTGAGAGTGCTAGCACTCTTAGTGACACTCTCCGGATATGTCATCATTATGTCTATAAAGCCAGGCATACGGTAGGCTAGGTGGCGCTCCCCCTGATTATACAAGTCAGCCATCACTTCCACCTGTCAACACAAAGCACATGTTATCATGAAATCATTTCAGTTAGGATACATTGGCACATTTTTTATCAATAAAATTGTTTGAATCTAAACTCTTTCCTGCAGAGAATATATTGGGACTTAAAACTCCACCATATGGACTGCCTCTGTACAAGCAGAGATACCAGGCCCTGGTTGTACTTCAATGTTTTAATTTGTCCTGAAAATGAAGTCAATGTACCTACCAACAAAAAAGTGATTGGATGTATTTCCCCAACAGTTTGGGCTGTTGAGAGGGGTCAAATAAAAAAAATATGGAAATGTCGTCTCATTTACAGACTCAATTTGCCAGATATTCTGGTACTTTCTTTAAAGGTTTAATTGCCTGATACCAATGTGTGTAATTCCAGTGTGGACAGTTACCTTGTCAAAGCTCTGTGGGACAATCAAGATGATGTGTGTCATATCTGTCATTTCTGACAACTCCAGATGGACTACCTAATAAACAAAACAAAAACAGTATTTATTTACATTAAATGAAAAAAAATATTGAAATATATTTTTCCACAGAATATTAACACTCCAAAGACAACATAAATAGTATGTTTTCAAGAAATATTTGCCTTACAGTTAACCATTGTTAATTGTATAAGAAAGTATGGATACCTTTCTGCCGGAATTCCTTGGAGGTACGAGTCGTCCTCTATCAGACAGGTTTGTACACTTTTTACTGTACAGGATAAACAAAATGTTAACATTATAAACATATGGGATTACAATGGATAATAGTCAACACAGTGATTACAACATGCATGTGACAAACATATCTCAAAGCAATAGATATTCTGCTACAACTATTTTTTGCATATTTCATATATTTCAATTCAGCACAACCCTCCTCAGAACTTCCCATACAATTCAGCACAACCCTCCTCAGAACTTCCCATACAATTCAGCACAACCCTCCTCAGAACTTTCCATACAATTCAGCACAACCCTCCTCAGAACTTCCCATACAATTCAGCACAACCCTCCTCAGAACTTCCCATACAATTCAGCACAGCCCTCCTCAGGGGGCATAACTCCATTTCTAGATATTTTTAATTACTTTACTGACATCACTTGGACACTGTTGCTAATTTAGAAGACCTATAAACTTACCATTGTTTCTCTCCTTCCTTCAGTTTACAAGCACAAATCCAATCTTTGGTTAACTATAAGAAAAACAGTTGTGGTGCATTACTGTAAACCAAAATAATTTCCATGTTACCATTATTCTTCAGATTGTTTGTTAAGTGCTAATATAAAACACATCAAATGATATTTAGATATCAATTTAATCAATATCATACAAGCCCCAAAATATAAAGTGACATCACAATATTTTTCTTTAATTTGTCTTCTAATTCACAAATTAATTACTAGCATGTTATTTGTACCTACAAATAGCACTGTGTTTAAGCAAGGACGTACATACAAACATCAAGGTCTCACACCTCCTACACCTCAAATGATAAAGCAAAGGGGGTTTGAAGGGTCCTTTGGTAGCAAAATGTTTCCCCACATGCTCCGTTTGCCTTCCTTCCTATACCTAACAAAGAAACCTGCAGGATGAGGATCAAGAATTTGCCTTCTATAACTCACTGCATGATTGTATGAAGTGACTATCATGAAACCATGTAGAATCAGTAATTGCCTCTATTCTCTTCTTTGTCGACAATAAAGACCCCAAAACTTTATAGATCTGCTAATACCATGTATTGTAATATTTGGGATATTATTTGCTACATTTTTTTCCCTGTTTTACTTTTGTGTCTGTCATGGCACACCTGTAATTAAGCCTTTTACTAGTGTGGCACTGTGTGACCTTATTGTGTTGATACATACCACATCACTGATGGCTACCAGGGAGTCGACACCCTCCCTACGGATAGGTACAGCTATGTAACGAGTCTTTGGTACCTACAGTATAAACAAATCGACTCAATACCCATATCATGTTACCAACAGTTTCTATTATCATAAGGATATATCTAAAATGTAACATTAATGTTTATGATATGTATTAAGCTTCATGATAACCAGTGATATGCTTCTTAATTTGGCAGAGAAAATTAAAGAGAGGTTAATATTTAAATCAATTATAGTCATAATCCATGTGTACAATAAATTTATAAATGTTAATGTGTTATCACATTTAATACAAATAAGATAATATTACTGATCTTACCGGCCACTCGTTACACTTTACCTTAGGTCTGGCATACTCCCACAACTTGTCAGTCTTCTCCACCCATGTTATAGAAGGGTCAATAGTTATCTCCTTTTCAGATGTCTTCGGATATTGCAAGGTTCCAGTATGTGACAGGAAGTGATGTCGGAATACATTCATCCTCAGAGTTTTGTCAGTGCTAACCTGTGGTCAAAGTCATGTCTCATCACATTGTCGTGGTTACATTGTGTAGTGTGTGACCTAGATTATCGTATTTAAAATATATCTGTGTGGCTGTGTAAAAACAACGACTAAGTGTGTGTGACAAGATTGCCCCCACTATAGTAGCAGCACACCTTCTGAATGTCTATCATGAGCAGATATTTTTGTAGTGAATGCTTTTGTTAAGTTTTATCCAAATCATTGAAAAAGACCAAAGTAGAGAGATGACAATTTCTATTTAAAGTGTAAAAGCAATCTTAACTTCAAAACACAAACTCTTTTGAGGAATTGGTGTACTTAAGTCTAGTAAAAAGTTTCGTCAAAACCAAATGAAAATTAAATGCAGAAGTGCGATGATGCTGAAGAGTAACTGACAATCAGACAGATATGGGTAGTGTTATATGCCCTTCCTCTATTTCATGGAGGGGAGAACAGCAATGAAATAATTTGCAAAATATTCAGCTGAAAATTTAACAAATGGTTTCTTTGGAAAAATGCAAGAAGATTGAAATCAGCTTTACCATTCCAACTACATTTCCTTACTACTAGATGGCAAATCAATCAGCAAAACTTCAATCCAATTCAAACCTTTTTTAGGGACTCGGAGGGAGATAACCCAATATACAATTTCAAAACTGTCAATATTTAGAGAAACTCACAATACTTGTTTACAACTTTATCAACCACATTGTATTTTAATCAAATTGGGATTTGTCAAATATCATGTATTCCATGTACTGTTGATCCAGAACCCCCAATTTCGAGTTAGTGCATTTTTTACTGTTTATATAAATATTAAACAGCTACTCAAGAACTGATGTATTAAAGTAGTATGGTCTTACATACCACCCAGTGTTTGAAATAGAAAGCTTGGGTTATCTCCCCTGACTACACTTATATCATCAATAGATCAACAATATATTTTTTAAAAGGCATACAAAATAAAAATAAAAGTGTTAAGTATACTGCCATGAAAATTAGAAACTCACCTGTGATGTATTGGGATCAATGATGTCAAACAGGGCCCGTGTGGTTGCTAGCACCATCTGTCTACACCTGTCAAAGCAATAGTAAAGTAGTAGCACATCAATGGCACAGAGCAACAGTTAACAAAACATTGGTAACATTGCAAAAGTTACATTGCAACATGGGCCATGGTCTTTGAACTTCTAATATAGAAATAGTCAGATACCATTTGTATTACAATAAAATATATAACATAGACACTGTAACATAGCCATGGTAACATAGCCATGGCAACATAGCCGTGGTAACATAGCTGTGGTGACATAGCAGTTGTAACATAGCTATGGTGACATAGCCGTAGTAACATAGCCATGGTAACATAGCAGTGGTAACAGGACCATGGTAACATAGCATTGCTAACATAGCCATGGTAACATCGCAGTGGTAACAGGACAATGGTGACATAGCAGTAGTAACATAGCCATGGTCCTGTTACTACTGCTATGTTACCATTGTCGTGTTACCACTGCTATGGCACCATGGTACTGTTACCACTGCTATGCCACCATGGTCCTGTTAACACTGCTATGTTGCCATGGTCCTATTACCGCTGCTATGTTACCATTGTCATGTTACCCCTGCTATGTTACCATTGTCATGTTACCCCTGCTATGTTACCATTGCTCTGTTACCAATGCTATGTCACCATGTTCCTGTTAACACTGCTATGTAACCATGGTCCTGTTACTACTGCTATGTTACCATGGTGACATAGCAGTGGTAACAGGACCATGGTAACATAGCAGTGTTAACAGTACCATGGTGACATAGCAGTGGTAACATAGCCATGGTAACATAGCAGTTGTAACAGGGCCATGGTAACATAGCTGTTGTAACAGGACCATGGTAACATATCAGTGGTAACAAAGCCAGAGTAACATAGCAGTGGTAACTTAGCCATGGTAACATAGCCACGGTAACATAGCAGTTGTAACATAGTAGTGGTAACATAGCCATGGTACCATAGCAGTTGTAACAGGACCATGGTGACAGAGCAGTGGTAATAGGACCATGGTAACATAGCAGGGGTAACATGACAATGGTAACATAGCAGTGGTAAAAGGACCATGGTAACATAGCCGTGGTAACTAAGTCGTGGTGACATAGCAGTGGTAACATAGCAATGGTAACAGGACCATGGTAACATAGCAGTGGTAACAGGACCATGGTGTCATAGCAGTGGTAACAGGAGCATGGTAACATAGCCGTGGTAACAGGGCCATGGTAACATAGCAGTGGTAACATAGCCATGGTAACATAGCCGTGGTAACAAAGTCGTGGTGACATAGCAGTGGTAACATAGCCATGGTGACATAGCAGTGGTAACATAGCAGTTCTAACAGGACCATGGTAACATAGCAGTGGTAACAGGACCATGGTAACATATCAGTGGTAACAAAGCCAGAGTAACATAGCAGTGGTAACATATAAAGTCATAGTAACAGTAATGGTTACATAGCAATAGTTAACAATGCAACGGCAACAAAACAATAGTTACTTAACAAATGAAATTAGAACAATCATTTAATGGCAATGGTAACGAAGAAATGAAGAGAGAGAGGCCTTTTATCATCTGAACTAAACAAGGCATTATTTATTTTTTTGCTAACTTGAGATCCTGGAGGTGATCCCGAATTTCCTAGTGATTCAAAATCTCCAACAGAAACATTTGATAAGGGTAATGACAGGAACATGTGTATGACGTTCATTTAGAATTTATTTGTTGGCTTTGTGAATGAGTCATAACAGAGTTAGCCAATAAGAGGACAGGATGGTCAACTTGGCCCCAAAAAATATAACAAATCTTCTTCAAGATAATAAGAGCATTACTTACAGGATACATAAATTGTACTTAAATTTCAAATTTATCTGCAGTAAAATAAAAAAGTGAAAAAACGTCACATCTTATCAGACATTTACATTTAAAATCAGCCAAAAAAGTCAGAGTTTGTAATGGCCATGAAATAATTATTTGGGTTAGGATTTGTCAACTTGAACAGATATTTGCCTTGTCATTCTATCAAAGTCTTTCACCTGTACTTAAGCAAGAGATCCCAGAGGGATCTTGGCGCCCACCATTGTACCATCTTCATTAGTTCTTTGTCAGTTCGATCTTTTCTGTTCTTTCCTCTAATCTGTTTGATCGAGTCATGTTAACAGTAAATGCACCTTGAGGTAACTTTTGACCTAAACTTAATACTGATTAATGTGTATGAAAGCCAACCTTCAAAATGAGTTTGTCATTTCACATATTTACTAGTACAGTACTTAATGTGAAAGAAATAGAATTGATCATTGCAATATGAGAAAGATCTGTTTAGTTTTTCCTTTAGCCATTTCGTTTTTATGATCAGTCTCAAAATATAACATGCGCAACGAGGGATCAAGGGGAACCTACATATCAAATTTGAGAAAGATCCCTCAAGTTGTTCCTGAGAAATAGTACTAACAAACCTGCAATGTCAAAAATCAAAGATGGCTGTCGGTAGGCCATTTTGTTTAACTGATCAGTTTCAAAAGTTAAATTTAATATATTTTGGCTCAGGGATTTTTCATGCCAAATAAGTTTCTTTCCTCCTGCCCCTCACCACAACATATTTAAGGAGTACAGGAGGACGAGCACACATATTTCTCCTTCATTTATAAAGTATTGAATCTCCTTATCCCAAGGGACTTCTAGTCTTTTAAAGGAAGTGTTGACAATAGATAAGTGTTTGACAAAGTGCCACAGCACAAGCTCACTTAACCCTTTTGGCCAAGTTGTTGTATCAAAGTAAAAGCAGCAATAGTAATACTGACTGCTATCATTTCAATATTACAGGAGAAATAAGGTACATACAGCACTACACACATATTCATCACCAAGCTTACCACACAGCACACAGGTGGTCGGTGGACACCCAAGCATTCGGGACAGACATGGTCTGAAAACATTCAATAATTATATTCAGCAAATGAATTACAGGATTTTCTTGCTGTTTAATCCTTTCATTAACTCAATTACATTTGTTCAAATGAAACATGAAATCTGTTTACTGAGTTTGTTAAAATTTTCACAACAATGTTTCAAGTAGGACAAAAACGTTGAAATTAAATGAAATGCACAAAGATACTTACTGATGTGTACACTCCACGGGATTCGTCCACTATCTAAATGAAAAATGACTTTTATATAATTCTTTTTATTAAAATTCATCCATTTAAGAAAAGACAGAATTTAAAATACCCATTCTAAGTGTATCTACACTTTATCTTGTTATGTTTGATTGTCCTTTTAAAGTGAGGTTGTCCTTTAACCTATTGATAAGTGAGTAAAATGGTACAAAGAGATTTCAGACTTCTGGTACAAGCACAACTAACAACAAAGAAGAGCCTTACTAGGAAGTGATAATGAAACTGCCAAATTCCCTAATGGGCATGTGGCATCTATCTTCAAACAGCTCATGCAATCAGTTCAAAAACTGGACATGCACGATTAAAGACCAAAGGGAACCAGCTTGTGAAATTTGTGAAAGCTGTCTGTAGAACTTTTTGAGAAATAGTGATAACAAAGTTTAATTGTCAAGTTAATAGATGGCCACTTGGCAATGCAAGCCACCTTGTGCTTGCGATAATTTCCATAATTAAACACATAAACAAGGAACCAACTTATGAAAAATTCTTGCAATGTACTTCGTTTTGGAAATGAAATTTATTTTCAGTAATGTGAGCAAAGAACAAAGATCAATTATATAATGAATAGTATGTATACATGTATATGTGTACCTGTAGCTTCTAAATGAACATCTTGTACAAAATTACCATAGAAAATGTTTTATACTGCACTGACTTTCATCAGGATCCAAGATAACTGATGTTTTGGGAAATTATCATTACATAGGCTGAGCAGGAACTACGGTGATACATACCCCTTTCAGAGAGGTCAAGCTGTTCCTGACAAGGACATCCCGGTGACCTCCACCAGTAGACACAACAGTCACATGGCTTAAGCTACTGTTACCATGCTCCACCCAGTAACTGTTTACAGCCGTCATAAACGTGGAGAGCTTCTTATCAAGGGGAAGAACTGTTGGTAAAAACTGCTGTTCAGATCCAATTCACAATACAATATATAGTCTATTCATTATTAATACAATTTAAAATTTAGTGATTTCTTCTAGAAGACTACACATTCTGTACTGTTAACACACTTAAATACTTTAGCAGTAATCTGATTTTAGTGCCTTGTCGACTGTTGTTGGTGCACAAATTTATGTAAAGCATGAACTATATAGGGATACAAATTTTCCTAAATTGATTTGCGAAAGGACAGAGTCTGTGCACTGATTTATAACTGTGCTAAGGGATAGGATGTACCACAGTGTGCTAAACAATTATCGTTGTACATACCAGGCCCCTGGTGTGGGGTTGCCTGCGTGATAATAGTGGATACCAGACTAGGGTCAAAATCTGGTAGTGTGAACAGCGCTCTTGCAATAATTCCACCCTGTAACAAAAACATTACCTACAAGTATGTACAGACCTAAATTCACATTATTGCTTGACAGCTGTAAGTGTACTAGTATAGCAGTCATACTGAATCATTCTATGGATTATGTATGTATTCCAAATACACGTATCTTTCAGGACAATACTGGGACCTTCTCTTTACGATGAAGATCTAAACATGTAATACAGACTTACCAGCGTGTCCTACTAGCATTACAGAGGAGGGCGGTTCTGGGGCTTCTTTTTATGAAGAATATTTATAGACTCAAGTACCCTTACAGTGTCCTACTTATAATACAGCAGTTTTGGAGTTTCTCTGTAAGAGGACTATCTACACAGACTTAGCAAAGAGTGTCCTACTAGTATTACAGAGCAGAGCGGTTCAGGAGCTTCTTTTAATGAGAATATCTATAGACTTATGGACCTTTCAAGCGTCCTTCTAGTATCATAGAGGGGGCTTTGGAGCTTCTCTGTAAGAGGAATATCTACACAGACTTACCATAGAGTGTCCTACTAGTATTATAGAGGGGGCTTTGGAGCTTCTCTGTAAGAGGAATATCTACACAGACTTACCATAGA